GTAAAATAACTTAATCTTATGGTTTTCAAACTCCATTTTAGTAGTGGAAACTGTTTCCAAATCGGTGAAATCCAGTATATGAGATGCATAGGATCAGAGCTGCTTTGGTTGAGGTGGTGACGGGGAGTGGGCATGTGCTGTGAACATTAATGTACAAATTTTTGGTGGGCATTTCTTTTCTTTTCTCTTGGGCATATACCTTGTGATGACATTGCTGGGTCATGTGGTAACTCTATGTTTAGCTTTTTGAGGAACTGCCAGGCTCTTTTTCAAAGCAGTGTGTCATTTAAAAAGATCTAGACAAGGGTATGAAGAATCGGTGGGGTTCAAATAAATGAGAACAGAGGTGCTCTTTCTTTTTGGGAAGAAAAATCCTTTAAAGTTTTATAGGCTTGATGTTCCATGTCTGCATATCGTATTTGCTGTATCTCATTGCCTTAATAGATAACTGCATCATTTCCCATATTTAGTTTCCCATCAGACATCTGTTTAAAATTTTAGCTCCAGATGGACACAGATAGATACCAACTTTTAAAGTAAAAATCATTTATTTTTATTTTCTTAGACAGCAGCCACAGCAGCTCTTACTTAATCTTGATTATGAAATGTAAGTTGCTAGAGTAATGAAGATATCAGGGAGCACCGTGGGGCTTGTGGCGGTGGCTTTCTCTTTGAGATCACATGTGTCAGGGTTGTGATAAAGGCCTAAGCGCACACGGCACAGACCTGGCTGTGCCTCTGGAAAAGGGAAAGTGATCCACTGTCAACGCGGTGTGTTGTAATCCCCAGAACCCTGTCTAAACAAAGCCTTTTAGGACTGGGAAGGATCTCAGACTTCATTTTCTCTATCCATACTTTGTGTAGGACTTCATTTAACCTTTTTAAAAAGATAGTGGCCTATACTTTTTTTTCTAAAGGTAACTGTATGGAGGATTCTAGAATATTCATTGAAAATGTTTATGTTCAAAGTAATTTTAAATTTCTATTTAGAAAAATCAGTTTTAAGAGGTAGAGATAGACTTCTGGGGAAGATGGTGTAGTGTTTGTGCTTCCCTATACAGATCACGATGGTTATCTGAAATCTTTGGGGCCATATTTGTTTTAGAGTTCAAGTTTTTATTTTGGAAGGTGGGGAGGTATTGAGAAGTTATTCCATTTATTTTATATATGCCCCGTGAGTCTGAGGTGTTACTCCACAATACAACACATTAACATTTCTTAAAGAATAATGAATCAGGAGAATATTCATACCAAGGGAGGTAAGTGATGACATCAGTAGCTTCATGTCAGTTTAGGGTACATTTTGGCATATTGTTGATAAGGAAGGAAGTTAAGGGGTATTGGCTCATCCCAGGAAGAGGTTAGATTAACAAAAGAAAAGAGCCCTGACCAGTGTGCTCAGTTGGTTGGGTGTCGTCCCACGCACCAGGCTGCTGCTGTGATTCCCCGGTCAGGGCCCGGCCCGGTTGCAGGCTCGATCCCTGCTGCGGGGTGTGCAGGAGGCAGCCAGTGGTTATTTTGCTCTCACATTGATGTTTCTCTCTCCTGCCTTCCTTTCTCTCTAAAAAATCAATCAGTAAATGAAAAGAAAAACAAAGAAGATATTGCTAGGCCTGGAGAGAAGTAGTATCTTAATGGACCATAAACAGAACAGTGGTTTGAATGGGGCCATAGGTCTCCTGGACTCTGGATCCAGAAGCAGGCAGTTCCGGGTAGAAACTTGTCCCCTACACAATAAAGGGAACTAGAAGGGCTACAGGAAAGATGGGGACCTGAAGCCACGCTTGGTACTGAAAGCCTGGTGCTAGAGTGAGACTCCCCAGCTCATGAAAGGAAGCTGTTAGGTCGTTGCACTAAATGGGATAGATAATTGTGCATAAATAATTCTGTCTGTTAAGCACTTTGAGAAATACTGGTCTGGGCAAGAGATTAGGACCTGAATTAACACAGTAGCAATCAGCAGCAAGTGGTTGGGTTTGAGAGACTTTAGGAAGGAGAATAATGGAAGATGACTCCTAGCTTTCTTGCTTAAGTGATCCCGTGAGTGCTATAGTAGTTGCCCGAGATAGATTTAAGAAACAGATGTTGATCAGTTTTGAAGACGCTGAATTCAAGGGACTGGTGTGTCAATAGCAGGCAGATGTTATATATTTGGGTCTTGTGCTCAGAACAAAAGATTGGAGTTACCAGGAACACGGGCAATAGGGTAGTGAAGACCTGGGAGGGGGTGTGTGTAAAACACTTGATTTTAACCAGGTAGTTGTCTTCAGAACTTTTGTGCCCTTCTCTGGTCTTAACACATCCCCCCATCTTCTTCCTCACCTTTGCCAGTTGGCCCACATATTTCCGGAAGCCTCTACATACTGCTTATTCAGATTTAATCTCTGGACCCAAAGACTATGTTTTTTGTTGATTGGTTAGTGTATGAGGATAGGAGGAGAGGAAGCAGTTGACCTGTCCAGCTTTCAAGGTTCCCAGTAGTAATGACTCTTGACATGTTCTAAACCGGAACACCCAGTGAACTGGCATGAATGAATTTTTAGCACAGACAGCTGTGGAGTAATGCCCTTGGAGCATAGAAAACGTGCATTTTGCGCGACCCCAAATTTAAAATTTTAGATGCCAATTTTTAAAGCATTAACCTCAGCTGGAGCATTTTATTTTTCAGTTATGTTAACCATAATTATGATCCTAACCTGAATTTCCCATCCCTAAATCCTAAGTATATCCTGCCCTGTGTTCTTTGCCTGTCTCTACTGTAGCTTTCTAATCACTGAAAGCACAGCTGTGTTTCCTGTTGCCAGTTGTCTACTTGGTCGTTTTTCTAACTCTTGAGGTTTACAGTAGCATCCACTGCTGTACTCACATTTGAACATTTAGCAAGTAGATATTAATAATGAATTCTCTCTCTGTCCCTATTATTTAGCTCTGTAAGAAGCATCACTTTGGAATTAACAAACCAGAGAAGATTATACCATCTCCTGACGACTCAAAGTTTTTACTGAAGACCTTTACGCATATTAAGTCCAATGTATCTGCTCCTAATAAAAAGAAAGTAAGCAAAATCAGTCAGAGAAAGCCAAGTATCACATGATCTCACTCATATGTGGAATTTAATGAACAAAATTAACTGACAAAATAGATGCTGAAACATAGAAGCATAGAATAGACTGCGGAATCTTGGAGGGAAAATATATTTTATTGATCTTTTACAGAGAGGAAAGGAGAGAGATAGAGATAGAGAGTTAGAAACATCGATCAGCTGCCTCCTGCACATCCCCCACTGGGGAAGTGTGCGCAACCCAGGTACATGCCCTTGACTGGAACCGAACCCGGGACCCTTCAGTCCGCAGGCCGACGCTCTATTCACTGAGCCAAACAGGTTTTGGCGGAATTTTTATTTTTTATTAGGTTTAAAATGAGGGGTAATTTTCCTGCCAGTGAACTTATTTTGAAATCACATGTCATATTCCTGCATGTCCTAGGGCAGCGGTTCTCAACCTGTGGGTCGCGACCCCTTTGGGGGTCGAACGCCTCTTTCACAGGGTCGCCTAAGACCATTGGAGAACACATATATAATTATATATTGTTTTTGTGATGAATCACTATGCTTTCATTATGTTCTATTTGTAACAATGAAAATACATCCTGCATATCAGATATTTACATTATGATTCATAACAGTAGCAAAATTATAGTTATGAAGTAGCAACGAAAATAATTTTATGGTTGGGGGTCACCACAACATGAGGAACTGTATTAAAGGGTCGTGGCATTAGGAAGGTTGAGAACCACTGTCCTAGTGATTAGCTTCACCTCTTTCCTAGGAAGGTGTGTGTTACCCACATAGGCTGTCTTTACATTTCATTCCCGCAGTGATAGTAGATCCACATTTTTACAGGTCAAGGAAAGTAAAGAAAAGGAAAAGTTGGAGAGAAGATTACTTGAAGAGTTGCTGAAGATGTTCATGGACTCGGAATCCTTTTACTACAGCTTGACCTATGACTTGACCAACTCAGTGCAGAGGCAAAGCGCTCCGGAGAGGGACCCCCGGCCCCTCTGGCAGAAGGTACCGCTCACGGTTCAGAGCAGGGTTTGCCCCTGAGCAGTTTATGGACTTATTTGGCTTTATCAGAAAACTGAAACAACAGGCTTCTGAACTGTTTATTCTCTACCTTTTCCAGGTTGATGATCGATTTTTTTGGAATAAATATATGATACAAGATCTTACTGAGATTGGTGTGAGTAGTTTTCTAAAATATTCTAAGATAATTATAGTTAAGCAAATATTCTGGCAATACCAAGTTTTTTAACTTTCCTGTTTCCTCATCTGGACACATCTCCAAGGACATTCTAGGACTGCCAGTATTTGAATCAGGGAAGATAGGGAATATGCTGAGGTTATTTAGATTTGGTGATTACAGTCTTTCTTTACTCTGTCACATTATGCTGGAGAATTATGACTGTCCAAGGACAACTAATTAATTTATTCAGTCAACAAATATTTGTGGAAGGCCTGCTATGTGCCAGTTACTGTTTTGGACACAAAGTGGGCGAATAGTTGATTAGGATCATATATTATCTTTTTCTTAGCCTTTCAGAAATTTCAGACCTTTTGTCCTGGCCATCGTGGTTCGGTTGGTTGGAGCGCTGTCACCTACACAGAAAGGTCTCGGGTTTGATTCCTGGTTAGGGCATGTACCTGGGTTATGGTTTCAGCCCCTGGTTGGTGCACTTAGGAGAGGCAACCAAGTGATATCTCTCTCCCTCCCTCCCCTCCCCTCCCCTCTCCTTCCCTCTCTCCTTCCTTTCTCTAAAAAATAAAAATCAATAAACACATCCTCAGGTGAGGATTAAATAAGTATATTATTTAAAAAAATTTTCAAACCTTTCTCCTTTTTTCTATTTCTCTTCCTTGGTGGGAGTTAGTAGATAGATAATGCCTACCACTATCTATCTATCTATCATGTCTCTATCGAGAAAGAGTTCTTGCCTCTTTATGATGCTGACACTGGGACCACCAGAACTTTGTGGCAGATTAGCAGTAAGGGTGTCTGTAATGAATATTGTCTTGCTTGCTGACGTGTTGAGCTCTGTTTTGCAGAGTTTTTGCAGATATTTTGCATTTCCATTGAGAACTGGTGACTTGCTATAAAGGTGGCATTTGGCCACTTACACGTCTCTGTTCCCTCCAAGAGTCTGCATGCATTGCTAGAAGGGAAACACAAATAATGGGAGTGATGATAAGAATCATGAAGGCAGGTTGGCCCTTTACTGTTTTCAGCCACCTTCCCAGATCCTGCCTGCAGGCTCCATGAAGCAGAACCATGAGATAGGACCTGGAGTGCGTGGTTATGCGAGAAGAGGTGGGTTTGAAGTGGATGCTGAGATTAGGGCTAGATAGGATTATGGAGACAGCAGAGAAAGAGGGACTAAGAACAACTCTCTGGGAGGCTGTTCAGCCTTCACTGTTTATCCTGTGCTGTTGCTAGCTAGTTCCGGTAAGCAGGCAGGCACTATGCTAACGACTTTTTCCATTTTACTCATTCATCTTCACAGCAACCTAATTGGGTAGTAGTTTTCCTGTTTTTCAAAGCAGAGTGTCCAGGCACTGGGGAGGTGCAGTGACTCACCTGGGGGAGTTAGTAAATGGCGGAGCTTGAATTTGGACCCCGCTGTCTGGCTCTTAGGGTGTGATCCCTCTCAGGCAGCTCTCTTTGAGCGATTATTATAAAGCAAAGGAAATACTCTCTGCTCCACCTGCACTCCTCCCTCCACTCCTCTGTGTTCTCCAGTGAGCAGAATATAGGGTTAAAGAAGGGAACGTTTCTGTTCCTAATAAACTAACAAGTATGTGTTGGCTACTGTTTGGGTTTCAGAAAGTGTCAGTGCCGTATAGCATAGAAACAACGCGATGTTCCTGTTGTTTTCAGACGCCAGATGTGGACTCCTGGATTATCCCCATTATCCAAGGCTTTGTGCAGATTGAAGAACTTGTGGTAAATTACAGTGAGTCATCTGATGATGAGAAAAGCAGCCCAGAGACCCCGCCTCAGGAGTCCACCTGTGTAGATGACATTCACCCACGATTCCTAGTGGCTCTCATTTCACGTCGCAGTCGGCACAGAGCAGGTGTGTGGGAGACTGTGATCACCTGCAAATCAATCCAGGCTTAGTGGAAATGCTGCGGGGTGCTGACATGCTGGTGGCCGTGTGGATCTGGAAACAGTCCGTTTCAGTGCTCAGCCACTTTGTAATGTGACTGGGGACCAATTATTGGATAGAGGCGAACTGGGAAGAGTTAAAAGGAGAAAGAAGAGAAGAAAGTCACTTGGGATGTGCTTCTAAAATACCATTGTTCCCACGGATGGGCTGGATCAGTCACAGTAATCACTCCTTCCTGAGTGCTAGCGCCTTTGGGAAAACCCTCCTCTTTCAGTGCACAGGAGTTCTCGTAGCTTCACTTGGTAAAAATCATGATGCATGCAGTTATGATTTGGGATAAGTTGATCCAGTTCTGCCTGCCAGTTGCACATTAGATCCCCAAGGCTATCCTGAAAGTGAGATCAGCATGATCTAGTTAGACTAAATTTTTTTAAAATGTTGCTGTTTTCTGTTTGTTTGTTTTTTGTTTTTGTTTTAGGAATGCGCTATAAACGAAGAGGGGTGGATAAAAATGGAAATGTTGCAAATTATGTGGAGACTGAGCAGCTAATTCATGTCCATAATCATACCTTGTCATTTATTCAAACCCGAGGCTCTGTGCCTGTCTTTTGGAGCCAGGTTGGCTATCGATACAATCCAAGACCTCGGCTGGACAAGAGTGAGCAAGTCCATTATTTGGTTTGCAAATGATGGTGTCAGACAGATATTAGATACTTTATAGATTTGGATTTGCTTTGCTAGATGCTTCATTCAAAACAACTCATACAGTGAAATTTAGTGGAAAGTGATATAAACATAAGAGCAATAATGGTTGTTGACAATTTAACAAAAATTCCCCAACAATAGAGCAAAACAGCTTATTGTACATTTTAAATTCTTGACTTTTTGAAGAATACTTTATTGGATGTTTAATTTTGGAAAAGGGTAAATGAAGCCAATATTTGTAGAAGGGGGAAATATCTTAAGATGGCATCTATTATACAAGATGCCTTTATTGAAATGCCTCACTGTGAAGTGTTTGTTATTTAAATTATTGAGAAGTTAATTTATTTTTGTATTTTAACTTTAACACTGGAATAGCTAAATCATGTCAGCCTAATTAGATTACTGAATTAGGTTGATTTTTAAAAATTGTTTACAAAATATTTTTCTCTCAAAACAATTTATATTTATGAGAATTTGGTAAAACTTCGGTTTTTAATATCCTTGATTAAAGAAGTTTTTATTTTTTTATTACAAATTACATGAAACCTTTTCTGATAAGTTGGCTGGCTTGTTATTATAATGTAATTTTACAGTTTGTACTTTGTTTTAATTTAGTCTAATAGGGGGGAAGAAATCAGATCTTTGGCTTAGCATTTCATTTTAAAATAAATTTAGAAAATCTTACTTTTGGGCTGTCAATTTTTTTAAAGTAAGAATAACGATGGAATAGACACTAATTTTTTCTTAAACAGGGGAAGGAAAAAATCGATTTTATATCACTTCTTTGTAGGTGAAAAGGAAACTGTTGCCTATTTCTGTGCCCACTTTGAAGAACAACTGAAAATTTACCAAAAACAGGTGGGCTTTGATCTCTAGTAGTTAATGTTCCTTTATATTTTGAGATGATTGTATATCTGTTTCTTTAAATTTCATGAAAATAACAATGTACTATTCATAATTAAGCAAAATGGCATTTCTCATGAAGTTAAAGAACACATGAGCCGAGACCGGCTTGGCTCAGTGGATAGAGCGTCAGCCTGTGGACTGAAAGGTCCCGGGTTCGATTCCGGTCAAGGGTATGTTCCTTGGTTGCGGGCACATCCCCAGTAGGAGGTGTGCAGGAGGCAGCTGATCGATGTTTCTCTCTCATCGATGTTTCTAACTACTCTCTATCTCTCTCCCTTCCTCTCTGTAAAAAATCAATAAAATATATTTAAAAAAAAAAAACACATGAAAGCTAAGAATATTCTTAATATTTTCAAAGAAATATCATTGGTCAGCTACTTTAGACCATTTTTATTATTTTTTAAAATTTTAATTTTTAAAATCAGTTTTATTTTTCAATTACAATTGACTAGACCATTTTTAGATAAAAGATTACTCTGTCAATTATTATGATTTGAGAAGTTTCTAGAGTAAGAAATAAAAGGCATCTCTCAGTACCATCCATATAGTTAGTTCTACCTCCTGGAAATAACAATTTAATATGTATCTTTTCTTTGCCCACCTTTCTTATATATTCATACAGTCATGTAGGAATGTGATCATATAAACCAAAGTAAGATAAAAGCTGTTAAATGAAATACACGTTCAATAAGATGACCAGATTTCAGATGCAGGATTGAGCTAGAACTGTCAATAACTAATGCATTAGCAATAACCAGTCTGAATGTGTAATGCTATAGGACGTAGTTTTCTAACAGCAACAAAAATAAAATAGGAAGAAATAACCTAAAATCTTGTAAGCATACAAAAGGATACCATGACAGTAGTGGTGGCGGGGGTCTAGGGGAGAGTTACTGAAGAACACAAAAGGAAATCTGAATAAATGGAGAGAAAATACAATAATCTTAGAAGGAAACACTCAATATTCAACAGATTTCTGTTCTTCCAAAATTAATATATAAATGTTGTGCAATCCCAAAGGAAGTCCCAGCAGGGGGAATGATTGAAAAAAAACTATAAAGTTTGATGATAAGAGATGAAGTCAGGGATGTGGGAAATGAGAACTCTCACATATTGTTAGGGCAGTGGTTCTCAACCTTCCTAATGCCGCGATCCTTTAATACAGTTCCTCATGTTGTGGTGACCTCCAATTTCATTGTTACAAAGTGAACATAATTAAAGCATAGTGATTCATCACAAAAACAATATGTAATTATATATGTGTTTTCCGATGGTCTTAGGCAACCCCTGTAAAAGGGTCGTTAGACCCCCAAAGGGGTCGCGACCCACAGGTTGAGAACCGCTGTGTTGGAGCATAAGTTGGTACAGCCATTTTGAATGGTATTATTCAAAATAAAATATGCTCTACTGTTAACCCAGTAATTTTGCATACATACCATATGCAAAAATCAGTTCTAGGTGGATATGGATTTAAATATGTAAAGTTAACAAAACTTTTTAGAGGAAAATATAGAACATCTTTTGACCTTGGGTCTTAATCTGGACTTAAAAAGCACTAACCATAATTTTTAAATGGATAAAATTGACCTTACTAATTTGTAAATTTTTATTAGAATTTTATTTCTTGGAACTTTATCATAAGTATAAATACTATTATAAATGTTATAAATATCTTATTATTTTTAGAGAAAGAAGGGTCGGGGTAGCTTCGATAAGAAAGAATCATTGATCTGCTGCCACCAGCTCAGTGGTTGAGCGTAGACCTATGAACTAGGAGGTCACAGTTTGGTTCCCAGTCAGAGCACATGCCTGGGTTGTGGGCTCAATCCCCAGTGGGGGTTGAGCAGGAGGCAGCCGATCAATAATTCTCTCTCATCATTGATGTTTTCTATCTTTCTCTCCCTCTCCCATCCTCTCTGAAATCAATAAAAAATATATTTTTAAAAAGTATTCTAAATATTTTCAAGATTTGCTATTTTAAAGGACCTTGTTTTCATTATTCTAGTTGGTTATTACAAATGTATAATGTATATAACTATTAATACCATTGATGTAAGCAGTTATCATAAACCTAAATGTAACAAATGAAAATCTAATTTATAGGAAAAGATTGATGCTTGAGTGGATTTCTAAGCATAGCTAGAAAATATTTCTAAAACATAATTCCAAATAAATCACATTATGATTCTATCATCTGATTAAACTGAATTTTTTCTCCTTACTCTTACAGGTTATTATTAACTTGGTAGACCAAGCAGGAAGAGAGAAAATTATTGGGGACGCTTACCTAAAGCAGGTGTTGCTCTTTAACAATGCGCACCTCACTTATGTTTCATTTGACTTCCATGAGCACTGGTAAGGTGCTTCCTGAGATGAGTTTTTTTTACCAGTTCCAATGGTTGTGGTACGATGCTGCCCCAGGGACCTAAGTTTCTCTTTATTGGGAAGAAAAATTTCTTCTCATTGTTGGAAAGGGAAGGAATATTATTTGTTTACTTTGTTTTCATTTTCATATGGATTTTATTTTGGCTAAAAATTTAACTTAATTGTTCCTGAAATATTTATAGTTTTTCCATTCCTAAATAACTTGGAGACTTAGAGTTCCTTTTTCCTTTTATTATTCAAGTAAAGAATTTCTGGAGCTTTACCTTTCTGCTTAGCCTGAGCCTGGCAGAAATAACAGAAACCCCTTAATAAAAACCATCCTGCAGGCTCATTCTCATACTTTATTAGTAACACTGCTTTCTCTGTGGATAAAGTTCACTAGCATTTGCTCTGGAAAATCAAAAATTAGTGAACCATTTTAATGATAACTTTAACTTGTGTGTATTTTGAAAGCAAGGTTCTTTTATCATGACCCCGGTTCTAACGTGAGCTCAATTATCTAAGTGTTGAAAATTTGGTGGGGAGCTTTAGATATCTTTATTTTTCAGTATATTTTCTTCCACATGACAGATTAGCTTTAAATGTTTATGTAATTGCCTATATAAATTATAATAGTGTAAACCTCATTTATTTAAAGTAATAATTTTCTTTAATTTTTCAGGCTATCTTAAATATCATATTTAAGTTAAAGATTTTTCTCTTTGTTTTGGCTTGTATTTTAGCCGAGGAATGAAGTTTGAGAATGTTCAAACACTAACAGACGCTATTTATGACATTATTCTTGACATGAAGTGGTGTTGGTACGTATTTATTTCATAAGAAATCAGTGTAACAAACTCTTGGTCTGTGAAACCATGTGTATTTGTTTAGTAACATTAAGCATTAACCCCTTCCCCAACAATTTTTTTGTTAAAAACGTTTCTTTTTCAGACTAATTTTTTTATTTTGGTTCTATATAGTATTTTTGATGCTGGTTATGAAAACAGTTTGTAACTCGTCTTCCTATAAACCATATTTTTTTACTAGATTTTCTTAGTATACTCGTCGACGACTGAAAAAGAACATTTTGTGAAAACGAGTATACACGTTTCTGCCGGGGAAGGGGTTAAAATAACAGCAGCAAGCTGAGAAAGCATTTTTGTTTTTCCAGTTTTGCTTCCTGCTTCCTATTCTTTTTAAGAGAGGGTCAGGCATTAGGCATTGTAGCTGTGAACCGGGAAGAGGTGTCAAGTGGTTGGGCAAAGTGACGTGAAATGCCCAATGACTATTATTTAATTCATTCTAATACTTCATAGTTGAATTTCTTTCTCTTCTTTTTTGCCATCCCTAACATGGAAGGAGGGCTTAGAGGTACCTGGTCTCAGTTGTCTGGCATTTAAAATTATCAAGGAAGGATGAAAATTCTCAGATTACAGGAGGGAGCAGCAGGAAGAAAAAATTGGCTTAAAGGACAGAACAGAACTTTCTATTAGATTTTAAGGCCACAGATGGCAAGAGAAATGAGATGAGCAAGGCATGCTGCATGACTCTGTATTAGGTGGTAAAGTGAATGAGCTAATTTAGATGCATTTCTCTTGGAGTCAAAGAGGAGGGTCAGGATGGTGTTTTAAAGTGCTTTTTGATTTTAAATGTACGGAAAGAGTAACTGGTCCATTTTGCCTAGTAGTTGTATGACTTGGGGCAAGTGACTCTTTCTGTACCTCAGTTTTCTTTCCAAAATGAGGATAGTAATGTCTTCCTTGTTGAGTTATTGTGTAAATCAACAGTGTCTACATAGGACTCAATGATGCCTGCACACAGTGCTCTTCCAAGCAAGCTGATAACCAGTCCTGCTGTTCTTATCGCTGTGCTTGAAAGCATTTTGGTTTTTGAAAAACGCATTTAAGTATTTCATGTTGTGAAATAATCCCATGCTGTTTTTGAAAAGGGTTGATCAAGCTGGGGTAATATGTAAACAAGAAGGGATTTTTCGAGTTAATTGCATGGACTGCCTGGACCGCACCAACGTGGTTCAAGCTGCCATCGCACGAGTGGTCATGGAGCAGCAGGTAACTTGGAATCTGTTGGGTTGTAAATATTCATTTTTAATTTTTTCAAGGGTAAACTAATAACTAAGATCTTTGTTCTTTAGAACATTTATGGCATAGAACTCTAGTTGCATTAAAACCTGGAAAGCACAACCTCCACTAGAAATAACTTGAACCAAGTGGTATTTTCTTAAGTACACATTTCAGAATGTGAGGCCCAATATTTAAAAATTTATCGGGTGTCACTGTATGGTCACTTACCTTTTTACCTCATCTCTAAACCCTCTCTCCTGTATTTGGAGCTGGGGGTCTGTACGTTTCATTTCTGCTTGGCCGACTGGCTCCGTGTCAGGCTCTGCCAGTAGTGGACACTAAAGGAAGATCATGAGGCTGGAGGAGAAAAAGGGACTAGCTTCTTCATCTGGTTATAGTCCTGCCAGCAGTGCCATCACTGGCTGCTGGTCCCTTTGGCACCACAGAACCAGCCTCTTTCCTTGATGCCCCAGTTGCTGGCAACTGCTTCCTGTGATCATTATGTCATTACCCAGGTCCCTTTTTAGATCTTTTGGCCCTAACATCTGAGTAATGAATTCAAAGGTGGAAATTCCTAGCATGGTTTCTAGGGGTTTTGTTTTGTTTTGTTTTTAAATACATTTTTATTGATTTCAGAGAGGAAGGGAGAGGAAGAGAGATAGAAACTTTGATGAGAGAGATACATCGATTGGTTGCCCCCTGTATGAGCTCTGACGTGGGGTTGGAGGGCGGGAGTCGAACCTGCAACCCAGGTATGTGCCCTTGCCTGGGAATCAAACCTTTAACCCTCTGGTGCACAGGCTGACACTCTAACCATGCCGGCAGGGATGAAAACACCATTTCTTTTATTTAAGGGTTCTAAATTGTGTATGAACGTAATTCCTTTTTCTGCAGTATGTTTTATGCTATGGTGTCTTGGTTTATATGTAATTAATCCACCAATGTGTAAATTTTAGCTGAAAAAATTAGGTGTGATGCCCCCGGAGCAGCCACTGCCGGTGAAATGCAATCGGATCTATCAGATAATGTGGGCCAACAATGGTGACTCCATCAGCAGGCAGTACGCTGGCACAGCTGCTCTGAAGGTAAATACCTGCAGCGAGCATTTGCAGGTCATTCTGTGGGACTCAGAATGTCGTTAAAAACCATCTTTGTTTTTAAGATAAAGGTGTGCGGCTACAGGTGGTGGCTGACTGCTTTCTGGAATGTTTGGCTAAGGCAGGGGTCACACACTCATCTTTTGGCTGGGGCTGGGGCTAGGTGGCTCAGGCAGGCACCCATTAGGTGAAAGGGAGAGATGGAGCTGTGTGGCCCTCAGGAAGAGCATATGTTGTCTCAGGAGGGTGCTGTCTTGTTTCCTTATGAGGATGGAGGCGCAGTGTTGCTACGTCTTCCGGTTTTTTCAAGGGAGTCGGCAATCTGGAATTGTGTGAAATACTGGGTTTTTAAAATTTTAAATAGACAAAACAAAACATGTCTGTTGATGGGATTTGGCCCCTAGTATGATCATTTGCCTCCTGAATTTGTATCCCCATCCTGCCTTTTACTAGCTCTGTTACCTTGGGCAAGTTGCTTAATTTCTCTCTCAAGAGGAGAGTACACATTCTTAAGAAGCGCACATGGAACATTTTCCAGGATAGATCATATGTTAGGCCACAAAGTCTCAGCAAATTCAAGAAGACAGAAATTATACCAGGGCGTGTTGTTGTTGTTTTTAGTAATAGTGTATGAAGGTAGAAATCATTAACAGGAGGAAATTTGGGAAATTCACAAATATGAGGAATTAACGCTCCTGAGCAATCACAGGATCCACAGAAACACTTAGGGTCATGAGGCCATACTGAACAGTTATATGAGAACACATTGGACAATTTAGAAGAATAAATTCTTAGAAACCATACAACCTACCAATACTGAATTATGAAGAAACGGAAAATCTGAGCAGACCAGTGAGTAAGATTAAACCATTAAGCAAAAACCTCGCAACAAAGCCCAGGGCCAGATGGTTTCACTAGTGAATTAATGCCAATGTTTCTCAAGTTCTTCCAGAACACAGAAAAGGAGGAAACACTCCCAAACTCATTTTATGAGGCTCTGATACCACTACAAGGAAATAAAACTACAGGCCAATATCCCTGATGAATGTGGATGCAAAAATTCTCAAGAAAATACTAACGAACTAAATGTAACAGTATCACACACCATAATAAAGTTGGATTTATCTATCAGGTGGAAGAATCATTCAACATATACAAATCAATAAATGGGACAGCCTGGATAATAGAGTGAAAGATAAATATCATAATCTAATAGATGCAGAAAAAGCATTTGACAAAATTCATTCTTTTATATAAAAACTCTCAACAAATGAGGTATAGAAGGACTGTACCTCAGCATAATAAAGGCAATAATAACAAACCCACAGCTAATGGCATACTCAATGGTGAAAACTTAAAGCTTTTCCTTTAAAATCAGGAACAAGACTTTGGTGCCCACTGTCACCATTCCTATTTGTCATAGTACTGGAAGTTCTAGCCAGAGCAAGCATGAAAGGAAAATAGAAGCATCCAGATTGGAAAGGCAAAAGTGAATTTGTCTTTGTAGATGACATAATGTTGTATATGGGAAATCCTAAAAACACTCCATCAGAAAACTGTTAGAACTAATAAATGAGTTCAGTAAAATTGCAGAATACAAAATCAACCTTCAAAAATCAGTTGCACTTCTGTACAATAACAACAAACTGCTAAAAAATAAAATAATCTCTTTTACAATAGCATCACAGACAGTAAAATCCTTAGGAGTAAAATTAACCAAGAAAGTGGAAGATCTGTACACTGAAAACTGTAAGACATTGATGAAAGAAATTGAGAGGACACAAATAAATGGAAAGATAGCCCATGTTCATGGATAAAAAAATTAATATTCTCAAAATGTTTATAATACTACCCAAAGCCAGATAGATTCAGTGCAATCCCTATCAGAGTTCTAATGGCATTTTTCACAGAAATAGACAAAAGCAATTCTAATGTTTGTATGGAACCATGAGACCCCCAATAGCCAAAGCATTTCTGAGAACGAAGAACAAGGCTGGAGGCATAACACTCTCTGATTCCAAACCTTACTACAAAGCTATAGTAATCAAAACAATATGGCACTGACATAAAAACAAACACATAGATCAATGGAATCGAACTGAGAGCCCAGAAGTAAACCCACATATAGTCAACGACAGCTTGTTGTATAATTAGTATAGTCTGTTATAAGATGAATAAATTCTGTAGATTATATTTGACAAGGGTGTCAACAATACATTATGGGGAAAGGGTAATCTCTTCAATAAATGGTGCTGGAAAAATGGAATAGGCACATGCAAGAAAGTTAAATTGGACCCCTGTCTTATATAAAAATTAACGCAAAATGGATTAAAAACTTAAATGTAAGATCTGAAACTTTATAATTACTCCTATAAGAAAACGTAGGGAAAATGCTCCATGACATTAGTCTTGGCAATGATTTTTTGGGTGTGATTCCCAAAACGAGCAAGAAAAGAAAAAGTAAATAAGTAGGAGTAGATTAGACAAAAAAACTTTCTGCACTGTAAGAAAAAAATGTTTTTTAAATCAACAAAATAATAAGACAAGCTATGTAATGGGAGAAGATATTTGCAGACATGTATCTGATAAGAAGTTAATATTCACAAACAAAGATATGGGAGGAACCGAAGATGGCGGCATAGGTTAACGCCGGAGATTGCTGCCTGGAACAACCAATTCAAATTAAGCCTGAAACAGGGAACGGACAACATCCAGAACCACAGGAGGGCTGGCTGAGTGGAAATTCTACAACTAGGAGTAAAGAGAATATCATATCCAGACTCAGAGGAGGTGCAGTGCTGAAGTGAAAATCTCAGGTGCGGAGTGCGCGCGGAGCGGGGCTGGCGGCGCGGCGCGGAGGGGCGGTCGTTTGTTTACAATCGGGAGGGAGCATCAGCCTCTGAGCTCCAGATCCGGGCGAGTCGCTAGGGACGCAGACTCAAACGGGAGAAGCGGGACTGTCTGGCCTCGGGCGGAACTCGGGGGCAGCTTTCTCTCCGAGGTTTCCAGCGGTTGCTGGGACTCTGTGAGGCAGAGTCCCTAGGGACGGAACTGAGAGCCGCCATAACTGCTCCCTCCCTGCAGATCCCTGCTCGGCAGAGCCACCTGCTGGATAGCCGCAGGCAATTGCTAGATTAGCACTGCCCTAGAGATCCAGCGCAGAAGCTCTCCCACTGCAGACACAGCTGAGTTTCACTGCCAATTGGCCGGCAGGTCAATTCCTCCCAGTGATTCTACAGCAACCAAGGCATAGCTAAAACAAGACTGTGCACAAAGCCCACAAGGGGGTGCACCAAGAGTGTCCACCTCAGGTAACTGGGGAGGCTGAGCCACTGGGCCCTACAGGACACCTAGCACACAAAGCCTCTCTATCAACACAGGGAAGCAGCCAAAATGCGGAGACAGAGAAACAGGTCACGAATGGCAGAAATAGAGGAAAGCAAAGGATTGGATATAGAGTTCAAGGCCACGTTTATAAGGTTTTTCAAGAATTTTATGAAAACCGCCGATAAATTTAATGAGTCCCTCATTAAGTATAATGAGACCATGGAGGACATGAAAAAGGACCAACTAGAAATTAAGCATACACTGACTGAAATAAAGAATAATTTACAGAGATCCAACAGAAGACAAGAGGATCCCAAGAAAGCTAAAGATTTGAAATACAAAGAAACAAAAAATCCCCAACCAAAAAAGAAAAAAAAAAGAGATTCCAAAAATATGAAGATAGTGTAAGGAGCCTCTGGGACAACTTCAAGCGTACCAACATCAGAATTATAGGGGTACCAGAAGAAGAGAGAGGGCAAGATATTGAAAACCTATTTGAAGAAATAATGACAGAAAACTTCCCCTACCTGGTGAAAGAAATAGACTTACAAGTCCAGGAAGCACAGAGAACCCCAACCAAAAGGAATCCAAAGAGGACCACACCAAGACACATCATAATTAAAATGCCAAGAGCAAAAGACAAAGAGAGAATCTTAAAAGCAGCAAGAGAAAGACAGTCAGTTACCTACAAGGGAGTACCCATACGACTGTCAGCTGATTTCTCAACAGAAACCATGCAGGCCAGAAGAGAGTGGCAAGAAATATTCAAAGTGATGAATAGCAAGAACCTGCAACCAAGATTACTTTATCCAGCAAAGCTATCATTCAGAATAGAAGGTCAGATAAAGAGCTTCACGGATAAGAAAAAGCTAAAGGAGTTCATCACCACCAAACCAGCATTATATGAAATGCTGAAAGGTATCCTTTAAGAAGAGGAAGAAGAAAAAGGAACTCTTACCATTTGCCACAACATGGATGGAATTGGAGAGCAGATAAATACCACATGATCTCACTCATTTGTGGAATATAAGGAACAACATAAACTGATGAACAAGGACTGATCCAGAGACGGAGATGCATTGATTGGACTGTCGGGCTTTGGAGGGAGGGTAGGGGAGGGGGGGGGGAAAGGGGAAAGAGCAACCAAAGGACTTACATGCAGGCATAGAGGCCTAACCAATGGACACGGACAACGGGGTGGGGGGGGGGGGGGGAGGGTGATGTGGGGACAGGGACACATATGTAATAGCTTAATCAATAAAAAATATATTAAAAAAAAGAAGTTAATATTCACGATATGTAAGGAATTTATACAACTCAACAGCAAAATATAATTTGAGTAAAAAGTGGGTAAAGGACCTAAAGAGACATTTTTCCGAAGAAGATATACAAATGGCCAACAGGTACATACATAGGTGCTCAACATCAGTAATCATCAGGGAAATGCAAATCAAAACAACAATGCAATGTCACTTCCTACCTGTTAGAATAGCTGTTATAAAAAGGTAAGAGATAAGTGTTGATAAGGATATGGAGAAAACATAACCCTTATACACTGTTGGTGGGAATGTAAATTGGTCTGGCCATTATGGGAAACAGTATGGAAGTTCCCCAAAAATTAAAAATAGAACTATGATATGACCCAGCAATCCCATTTATGGGTATAGTAGTAGTATATCTAAAGGAAATGAAATCACTATTTTGAAGAGATATCTGCACTTACATATTCATTGCAGCATTATTGACAATAATGAAGACATGGAAACAATCTAAATGTTCAGTGAGGATGAATGACTAAAGAAAATGTGTGTTTGTGTGTGTCATGGAACTGTGTCATGGAACATGTATTCGGACTCTTCTGAAAATGAAGGGAATCCTGCCATTTGCGACATTATGATGAACCCTGAGGGCATTATGATTAAGTGAAATAAGCCAGACAAAGTACTACATGATCTCCCTTATGTGTGGAATCTGGAAAACTCAAACTAATAGGAATAAAGAGTTGATTGGTGGTTACCAGGACTCGGGGCAAAGAAGATGTTGTTCAAAAGGTACAAATGGAATAAGTTTTGCGGATGTAATGTACAGCATCATAACTGTAGCTAACAATAATGTATAATTGAAATTTGCTAAGGAAGTAGATCTTAAATGTTCTCACCACACTCACAGACACACACATGGAGGAATTATGTGAGGTGATAGATGTGTTAACCTTAACGTAATCAGCTCGCTGTACACACACACACACATATACCAAGTGATCACGTGGTGCACCGTAAAATTTACACATATTACTCATCAATTTTATCTCAATAAAATTGGGGAGGAGAGAAATATTTTTCTCTTTGATATTAAACTTTTTTGGATTCAGCATTCATGTCTCTCTCTTCTGTAATAAATTCTTATTTAATTACTGTTTCCTGTGAATGACTTAACTAGTTGGCAGTATCTTCTCCAGAATTATCAGTGTTAGGACAAGGTCTGTTTCAGGAATGGCCTTGGATAGAAATAGTGGGGTTGGGATGGAGGAAAAAAGGACTATGCTTTCCTTGCCTTAGAAGTTTAAATCACTGTCTCTCTGAGGAGTTGCTCTGATACCTTTGTTGTTAAAAGCAAGAGAAAAAACAATTTAAATCCTCATTGACTCATTCTACAGGAATTGTTACGTATAATGAGAAACCTGCTTTCTCTGTATTTACACACATCCACATAAACAGGTCAAATCTCAAAACTCTGGGAAGCTGTCCACATTTTTCCACATAAGAAATTTGTGATTTTTCAATATATTAAGTTGAGGCTTGAAAGACTTTATTTTTTTTCCCCCCAGCCAGGTTCTGTCTTTATTCTCCTGTTACATCTGTATTTATACCAGTTGATTTTAATCCTATCCATTCTATTCCAAGTTAGGGCGTTTGTTATCTCCATTCCAAGGTCACTACTCTATTGTTTTGTTAAGCTACAAGGAAGTAACTGAAGGAGATTATCCTAAATAAAGATTATGTAGCTTAAGCGTAATTGTTCGTAGTTAAAGTGATTAACTACCCGTCTGGCACTTAGTTAAGATAAAGGCCATATTTAACAAATCCACACCCAACATTATACGTACTCAATGGGCAAATTGAAAAGTGTTAAGATCAGGAACAAAATAGGAATGTCTACTTTCATCACTCTTATTCAACATGGTATTGGAAGTTCTAGTCACAGTGATCAGAAGAAATAAAAGCCATCCAAATTGGGGGGGAGGGGAGGAGTAAAACTGTCAATATTTGCAGATGACATGGATCTATATAGAGAGAGCTTTAAAAATTCCATCAAACTACTAGAACATATAAGTGAATTGAAAGACTTTTTTATGTAATAAATTTAGACTTGTAAATTTTCAAAATTCTATAGATTACCAAGAATGGCTTTACCTTAAAGCTCCATCTAGCTGAAGACTTGTTGTTACAAATAGTATGTTTAATTATTTGACATGCTTGGGTCAGAGTCAAATACTAATAGATATTTTAATTCAGCTGCATGACTTGGAATTATAAAAGCCTACAAAATTACAGTTTATAAGCCCACCTTGACTTCGGGAACATTCTTGTGTTTAAATTGTCAAAATGTTTTCCTTGACAGGGTGACTTTACAAGGACAGGGGAAAGGAAGTTAGCAGGAGTCATGAAAGATGGTGTTAACTCCGCAAATAGGTATTACCTGAATCGATTTAAGGATGCTTATAGGCAAGCTGTCATAGGTAAGAAACGTAAGAGCCTTTTTTTTTTTTATTGCTTAAAGTATTACAAAGAGTATTACATATGTCTCCTTAAAAGCCTTTTTTAAAATTTGTTATTCCTTCTGTGACTGTTTTACCGAAACCAACATTATTAACATAGTTCATATATTTTATAATATACTTATACTTCTATATTGACCATCTTACCAAATGAATCAAATTCAAATTTTTAGGAGATTAGAACTTGACAAATTTTTTAGGCTGGAGCAACAAAAGAAACCACTCGTTTCCATATGTATTTGTCAGTTTGCAGTTCATGTAACAGAAAGCATGGTTGAGGCTCCTGAAATACGAAATAAGAGACCCTAAAACCCTTCAACTAAAAACTCCACATTCTATTTGTTTTTCCGTTATTCAAGGCTGAGAGATGTAACAAGATGATTTTCTTTCTTTCCATGACATCGTATGTTCTTGCTGTGGACAAAAACACCATCCTTTCTTTCCATGGGTGTGATTAAATAGCATATTAAAGAAGAATGCCGAAACCGGTTTGGCTCAGTGGATAGAGCGTCGGCCTGCGGACTGAAGGGTCCCAGGTTCGATTCCGGTCAAGGGCATGTACCTGGGTTGCGGGCACATCTCCAGTAGGGAGTGTGCAGGAGGCAGCTGGTCGATGTTTCTCTCTCATCAATGTTTCTGACTATCTCTCTCCCTTCCTCTCTGTAAAAAAATCAATAAAATATATTTTTTAAAAAAAAGAGGATTACATTAAGCCCTAGCTGTTTTGGCTCAGTGAATAGAGCGTCGGCCTGTGGACTGAAGGCTCCTGGGTTTGATTCCTGTCAAGGGCACATGCCCAGGTTTCAGTCTCAATCCCCAGTGGGGGGCATGCAAGAGGCAGTCAATCAATGATTCTCTCTCATCATTGATGTTTCTATCTCTCTCGTCCTCTCCCTTCCTCTCTGAAATCAATAAAAATATTTTTAAAAAATTTATCCTACCTAATTCAGTCCTTTCTTTTGAAGAGTAAATGGAGGGTAGATTGCCCAGTGGAATTCATGCGTTGGCATGTTTTAAATTTAATTTTTATTAAAATATTACCTTATAGTATTTAAATAAACATATAATGTTGTGGATTAGAACCAAGTGCAACACTTTATCTTATGGTCTCTGAGACTATTTTTTAAATCCTATTTTTAAACTTGATATTTATCATTCATAAAATAATGGGGCCTAGACACAGGCCAGTTAGTAATTTGAGAAGTCTGGTGTAAAGAAGTTTGGTTCATTTGCCATGGATGGGGGTGTGCTGACTGGAAAACTGGATTTTTAGCACATTATTACAGAAAAGTAAGATATCTTCCTTCTGTTGGTTGATCTGGTGACTCAGTTATGCCCTTGAGGACTCCGGTTTTGTCCCTTTTGCAGTTTGATCTCTTCAAGGTTGAGACAGAGGCCCATAGCAGGCTGGGCTGTTGCTTCCCCTTATAGTGATAGCAGTGGCAGATCTTTTCCGGAAGCCCCCTCCAGTCTCATTGTCCCAAACAACTATAGGGAGTGGGATTATAATGACTTGTTAAAGTTTAAGCCACATGCCACACTAGGAAGAAGTTAGCTAGTCTATTTAGATCTGTTTAAAATGGGCTTTTTAAAAAATGTTTTTCTTGATTTCAGAAAAATATGTTTATATTGATTTCAGAAAAGAAGGGAGAGAGAGGGAGAGAGAGAAACATAATGATGAGAATCATTGATCAGCTGCCTCCTGCACCCCTCCCACTGCGGATCCAGCCTACAACCCAGCCATGTGCCCTGACCTGGAATCAGACCATGACCTCCTGGTTCATGGGTCGACGCTCAACCACTGAGCCACATCAGCTGGGCTTATTTGTCTTTTTATTGAGTTATAGGAATTCTGGATACAAGTCCACTATTAGATAGGTGATTTATAAATATCCGCTCCCATTCTGTGAATTATCTTTTCACTATCATGTTATTTCCCTTTGAAATACAGAAGTTTTTTATTTTTATTTTTATTTTTTAGCAGTTATGGTGGGTAGTTACATCCTAAGCCGGCATCTTTTTTTTTTTTTTTTACTTTATTGATTTTTTTCCAAAGAGGAAGGGAGAGGGATAGAGAGTTAGAAACATCGATGAGAGAGAAAATATTGATCAGCTGCCTCCTGCACATCCCATACTGGAGATATGCCCGCAACCAAGGTACATGCCCTTGACCGGAATCGAACCTGGGACCCTTCAGTCTACAGGCCGGCACTCTATCCACTGAGCCAAACCGGTTAGGGCAGAAGATTTTTATTTTAATGATGTTCAGTTTATCTGTTTTTTCTTTTGTTTGTGATGTTAGTGTCCATTCCCCCCCCCCCAACACCAAATAAAAAACTAAAAAACCCCATGTATGATAGATATTGACACTTTCTACTCTAGATTTGATGCAAGGCATTCCAGTGACAGAAGATCTTTATTCCATATTTAACAAAGAGAAAGAGCATGAAGCTTTGCATAAGGAAAACCAGAGAAGTCACCAGGAACTGATTAGCCAGCTTTTACAAAGTTACATGAAGTTACTGCTGCCTGATAATGAAAAGTTCCACGGGGGCTGGGCCCTCATTGACTGTGATCCCAGGTAACGAATGATGTCCTGCTAACTAATGTGCTTACGTTTTTGATAAGTTTTCTGTAATTAGTGCTGGGACTTATCCATAAAGCCGTGGGCATGGATGCATGGCACTTTTCAAGTACAGAGCTGACACTAAAAACTCAGTAATGAGAACTATTTTAATGCAGTCCTATATAATAAAAGCCTAATATGCTAAGTGTCCGGTCGACTGGTCGGCCGTTCAACCAATCAAAGCGTAATATGCTAATCGCTCATTATTATGTGCACTGACCACCAGGGGGCAGACAGTCGACCATTCGCTATGATGTGCATTGACCACCAGGGGGTAGATGCTCCGACTGGTAGATTAGCCTGCTGCTGGGGTCTGGCTGATCAGGATTGAGCAAGACGGGCCAGACATGCCCTGGGGCCCTCCGGCAGTCCCTCCCTGGCTGGCCAACCTCCTGCATCCCTCCCTGACCCTGATCGTTCACCACCTGGCCTGTACCCTCTTGCAGTCGGGGACCCCTCGGGGGATGTCTGAGAGCCGGTTTCAGCCCTATCTTGCAGGCCAGGCCTAGGGACCTCACTGGTGCACGAATTCGTGCACTGGGCCTCTAGTAATTGATATAAAAACAATTGTAAAACTATGGTTTGCTAGTGGGTGTCTGGGTTTTCCCCCCTCAGAATCTAGGTTTATTGTATTAATGCACATAACTCAGTGGGTAGAGCATTGGCCTATGAAATGAAGGGTCCTGGGTTCGATTCTGGTCAAGGGCACGTACCTCGGATGCAGGCTCCATCCCCAGCCCGGGGCACATTCGGGAGACAATCAATCAATACCTCTCACATGGATATTTCTCTGTGTCCCTCCCTCTCTCTTCTCAGAATCAATGGAAAAATATATTCTGGTGAAGGTTAACAAAATATATATATTGCACTGAAAAATTTTTTTAATTGTTTGAAGTATTACATATGTCTCCTTTATTCCCAGTTGACGCCCCAATGCTGTTGCAAATGGTTAAAAATTTTTTTTTAAATATATTTTTATTGATTTCAGAGGAAGAGAAACACCAAAGATGAGAAGGAATCATTGGCTGCCTCCTGCCCGCCCCCTACTGGGGACAGCCGGCAACCCGGGCATGTGCCCTTGACCAGAATTGAACCCAGGACCCTTGAGTCCGCAGGCCAAGGCAGTATACACTGAGCCAAACCGGTTAGGGAGGTTAAGAATTATCTTGATGGCTATTGGCAACCACTTAAATACCGCACTGGAACCAGCGGCAGGGCTAGCGAGATGCGCATGCGCACTGGACGGTGGCGCAGCGGAAGTGGCCCGCCGTGACGTGTTCCGGGGCGGGACGTGGCGCGGTTCAATCACGCGGTCGGTGCACGGGTGCAGTTTGGTGCAGACGGTTCACGGGTGGGGTTGGGTGCAGCGGCTCTGACAGCTTTGCCTCCTCGAGAGACAAACGGACGCCCCGACCAGATGCCGCGGCCCTACAAGCCCTTGCCGGGCGCCCGGCGGCCCGGCCGCATCGCAGAGCACGTTGCTGAATTGGATCGCCTGACGACCACGCTCAAGATGGTTCTCCTTTTAGCCGGGCTGACGCTGAAAGCCCCGGTGGCGTTGTATTTTTATTCTAAAATAGTCCTTTTTCAAAGCCTCCTGTTAATGTCCCCCGAGGACAGCGGCTTTTACGCCCTGGTTGTGGCGGTGATCGGCCTCCACCTGCTGATCTGCGGCTTCGTTTTTGTTCTGTGGCCGGAGGACGGCTGGCCCGGCTGGCGGGGGCGGAAGCGCTAGGACGGAGCCGCCTTTCCTCCGCGCCCCGAGCAGTCAGTGGTGAGGCCCACGCCTGACTGATGTAAATATTGTCACCAGTGGTCAAATATTTCCGTATTACAATGTCTTGTGACGTAATTTTCGTGTCTTGGCTGGAGCAACGCTTTTCGGAGTGCCCGTAAGTACAGGCCAGAGCCGGGCCGCGCTGGCTTCCCCGGATGCAGGGTGCTTGTCTGGGACCGATGGCGGCCCGCCATCTTAGGTCACTCACTGCGTTTTCGGCGAAAATTGAGAATTTATTTTAGGTTAAGACTGTTAGCTACACTACAACAAGGTGCTGCACTTGGGGTTTTTGGTAGTTTTCTCCGCAGGCAGCACGGGTTCTACATGACCTCATCCTGACGCAGGTTAAATGTGACGCCAGTTCCATCTGCAAAGGGTGTTTTGCAGTATTTTGATAAACAGGCAAACAGGTGTGTAATTCTAAGGCAGAATTACGCATTTGTATAGAGCAGTGATGGCGAACCTTTTGAGCTCGGCGTGTCAGCATTTTGAAAAACCCTAACTTAACTCTGGTGCCGTGTCACATATAGAAATTTTTTGATCTTTGCAACAATAGTAAAATACATATTTTTGATGACTTTTGGGACTAATCTAAGAGGCCAGATTAATTTCCAATCAACCAAAAAGGAGTTTGCGTGTCACAGGTTCGCCATCACTGGTATAGAGACTTTTGGGACTAATCTAAGAGGCCAGATTAATTTCCACCTTTTGTTTGGAAAGGCTGTTATTAGGTGAATATCATGTAAAATCCTTTCAAAGGATGCATTCTGCAGAGTAAAATACTGTGCAGTGTCATTTTGAAGATCAGGTTGTGAGAGTAAATCATTTAGACTGTTGCTTCTGAACCTCCTCACATTTCTTTCTTTTCAATCCCACCCCCCATTATCCACTTCCCCCTCCTCCTCGGCTGTGAGAAGGCATCTCTCTTCAACTCATCCTTTCTTCCACCCTCCCAAACTAGATTCTTTTTTAAATATCCAAATGGACTGTGTCCTACTTGTGAAATTAAATGTATGCATTGATTCTTCCCCTCCCCCCATCTTTTATCACAAGTGGTTCTCCTTTAAAAATAAGCTTGGCAAAAATGTAGATGAAAGTAAAAATATGTAATTGCCTGTGTCATGTTTGTTTAGCCTCATTGATGCTACTCACAGAGATGTGGATGTGCTGTTACTGCTTTCTAACTCTGCCTACTACGTTGCCTAGTAAGTTGCTTATTGATTTAAAGCTTTAAATTTTGTTTTAAAATTTGAGTAAATTTCCATTTTAGGAAATTAAGAATTGGGTTTTATTTTTTTTTAAAAGAAATGTCATTGAACCCCTTTACCTTACATAACTGTTACATCAGACTTCCTTTTTTTAATTTGAAAACGATTTTTAGAGTTATATCCCAGGTTTTGGTGTATTTCACATATTTTTATTGTTAGTGACCATATAGTATTGTTTTATTATGCCATTAATGATTTCTCATTGTTGGGCATTAAAAGGATTCCCTTTTTTGTAGTTTCGTTTTGCTGTTGTGAATGATACAGCAGTCTTTGTACAGATAACGCTGTGTGCAAGGTTATCATTTGGTTATAGTGATGAATTACAAGTGCTTCTTCATAGCCTTGCCAGAACTGAGGGTTGTTCCCCCCACCTTGTGTGAACTGATTTTTCTTGTCATTGGCCTGGGTGCCTATTGGCATTGATTACTTCAGAATACATGTCTCTGTATTTTTAAATTTCCTTTTAGGTTAAAGTTTAAGTTTGTCTTTTTTTTTCTTTTTCAAAATGTTTATAAAACAAATTATTTTTGCTGTGAATTTTAGTGTAAGATCTATAAACTGATTTTAACTATTGAACTATGTATGTTATCTCACTACATCTAACTTTGAAAAATAACTGTATTGTGCTACAGATTTTAATTGCATAGTAGCTGCTACTATTATACTTGCTATAAGATAAATATGCTTTTGATTTTAATAATTTTTTAATCCCTTTTCCTTTAGTTATGATGATGAAGTTGATAAAGTAAACCAGTATCAACGACTAAGTCTAGAAGACCTGGAAAAAATAGAAATAGGTAAATTTAAAGATACTAATCAAGTCATAGAAAGCAAATACTGTTTCTTCCAAGAGTAGGTCAAGCTGTTTATGCAACCGGCATAGCATCTTACTAGAACAGAGAGGGGTATTCTTACTTACAGAGAGGGGTATTCCCAGTCGTGTTTTGTAGGTCTCCCTTCTATTCTTTAGAGATTAATGATGAATATAATCCAATAGTAAGTTTCTATTTTATTATCTTGTGAAGATTAAACCAAAGATCAAGAAAGTTTACATATTTGAGGCTGAAGTACTAGTATTTAGTTTCATCAAACCAAACTGTCACACTAAGCTTATGTGCTTTTGTTTAGATTGTGAGGAAAAATGTGCTAAATAACCTAATGGATGAATGTGTTTGTCTTTTGAAGAGAGAGGAAAGTAAAGGTTATGTGAAAGATTCACACATATTCCTCTGGTCTTTAGGTCCTGAACCCACTCTTTTTGGTAAGCCAAAGTTCTCCTGCATGCGGCTGCACTACAGATACAAAGAAACAAGTGGCTATTTCCACACATTGAGAGCTGTAATGCGCAATCCAGAAGAGGATGGGAAAGGTAAGGAGATGAATTTACTGAGTGTAAACTTTTTTTTTTAATATATTTTATTGATTTTTTTACAGAGAGGAAGGGAGAGAGATAGAGAGTTAGAAACATCGATCAGCTGCCTCCTGCACATCTCCTACTGGGGATGTGCCTGCAACCCAGGTACATGCCCTTGACCGGAATCGAACCTCGGACCTTTCAGTCCGCAGGCCGACGCTCTATCCACTGAGCCAAACCGGTTTCGGCGAGTGTAAACTTTTGATCTGCTCTTCTAAGCACAAATGGAATTGGGGGCAGTACATACCATCGCCAACTAAATGATCCAGGGAAATAGCAACTTTGTTCTCAGCAGCACAGGGAGATAGATGATCTGAACTGATGATCGTTTGGGGCAAGGGAAGCTATAATGGGAATCCTGTGTGGCCGTATGGATGCGGGGCTTTCCCACCATATTTGCCTCGTGTGGGTAGTAGTCAAGGACCGTGTCTGTCTGGTTCACAGCTATTTCCCTCGGCATCTAGCACTTTAATTCCAATTGATTTGGTTCCTTTGCTCTTTACTTACTCTTTTGTTAAAATTGGTTTTACAACACTGAATTAATGAGGGAAGTAATGAATAAGGAGCAGTTTCCTGTAAATTGAAGCAAGTAAGTTTGATTTTAACTGAAAGACCACAAATTTCAGTTAGGGTTCTGAGTTAGAACTGCTACTTTTTCGTATGTTTCTGGGGAAAGTGGTAGCAGTTCTATTTGGGTTTCAGATACGCTTCAGTGCATTGCGGAGATGCTACAGATCACCAAGCAAGCCATGGGGCTGGATGTGCCTATAATCGAGAAAAAACTTGAGAGGTGAGTACTCTATTTTGATTTTCTCTCACGAATAAAGACATTATTATCCAGAGTCATCTTTAAAAATATTTGCGCAGGTGGGGGCGGGTCGCATTAGAGTAATGAGTTTGTAGAGAGAGAAGTATCAAATTTCTGTGGGTTAAAGGTAAAACTTTAGAGGGGAGCATTTCAATTTAAATAACTTTGTAGAAAAACTAGCCACTATGCTTTAAACAGAACACAGCTGAAGGAAACATGCAGCAGCAGTGATAACTCCAAAGACAAATGGTTTGGTCCAAAAGAACTCAACACGATTAATCCAATTCCCAGAAAGAATGTCACCAAGCAGAATTAACATGCTGATGTGGTAGTTCCCACAGGGTGGCTCTGGGTTGCTCCTGGCGGCCTGCTTGAGGAAGGTGAGGGCAGAGCGCCTGTGGGAGATGTCTCTGGCCTGTGTGTGGGACTGGGGTTGAAGTCACACAGCCGGACCCCCGTTTCCACTCAGCGCCTGGAACAAGGTGCCAGTGTCATTAAAGGCCTCTGCTGCTCTCCTGTAAAATCCTACCCGCTGGCTGTTTCAGAGACTCAGCACAAAAAATACACCTCATTCACTATTTTTCCATAGTGACTCTAAGCTCAGATGACAATGTTTTGTATATATTGTGGGTTTAAATCAAATACTATTAAAATTCATTTCACATTTTTAATGTGGCTATTTTCAATGACATCTACAGCTTGTCTATTTCTATTGGACATTCTCTTCTAGTGTCAACTGCAAGGGGTTATCTTAGTTTATCAATTAGCAATGCGCAGTTTTCAAGAAATGGGGTCCACTTTAATGGGAATAATTTGTGTTTGCACAAAAACATGGGCGGAGGCAACTATTGCCTCCAATTATTAAATTTTCACTTTAATAATTGGAAATGGTATGCTGAATTACATGGGAAATTAACTTTTCTCTCTTCTACTTTGTAGGAAGAGCAGTAAACCTCATGAAGACATAATTGGCATCAGATCTCAAAACCAAGGGTCTCTGGCCCAGGGAAAAAAGTTTTTAATGAGCAAATTTTCATCTCTAAATCAAAAAGTGAAACAGACCAAATCCAATGTAAATATTGGCAATTTACGAAGGCTGGGAAACTTTGCAAAACCAGAAATGAAAGTTAATTTTCTGAAACCAAACTTAAAAGTAAATCTTTGGAAATCAGATAGTAGTCTTGAAACCATGGAAAACACAGGTGTGATGGATAATACAGTCCAGGCAGAGTCTGATGGGGAAATGTCTTCAGATAATGACTCCTACCACTCTGATGAATTCCTTACAAATTCCAAGTCTGATGAGGACAGGCAGCTAACTAATTCTCTAGAGAACGTGGGGCCAATAGACTATGTTCTTCCTAGTTGTGGCATTATTGCTTCAGCACCTCGATTAGGCAGATCCCAGTCTATTAGCAGCACTGATGTTAGCATTCATGCTCCTTCAGATATTACTGTTGTAGCTCACGGAAGTGAGTGTGGAAAAGGCTGTGAGTCTCCTTTAAAAAAAAGTCCTTCTGCTGACGATATACACACAGTGACCGGCTTTGCCAAGCCTGTGGACATTTACTGCCACCGGTTTGTACAGGACGCGCACAACAAGATGGCCCAACTGCCCGAAACCAGATGTGTTTCTCAGCAGGCTAGTGAGGAAGGAAATCAAACAACCAATCAAGTTTCCAATGAAGAAACCCAATCTGAATCAACGGAACACATACCTTCTCGACCATCTCAATTAGATGTGTGTTTTTCTGCAACAGGCCCACAGTTTTTGTCTGTCGAACCAGTGCATTCAGTTGTCTCTCAAAAGACCCCCGGCTCTGGCTCCAGCACGCTTGAACTTGAGGCAGGGCTTCATGTAACTCCTTCTCCTTCGGAGAGCAGCAGCAGAGCCGTCTCTCCCTTTGCAAAGATTCGGAGCTCCATGGTCCAGGTCGCTAATATGACTCAAGCTGGGTTAACCCAGGGAATAAGCTTTGCAGTGGCAAAGGTTCAAAAGAGCCCTGCAGAACCTGAAGTGGTTAATGAAGTCCAGCAAAATGAACTTAAAAATATGTTTACACAATGCCAGACGCGAATAATTCAGATTTAGTTTTTAGCCACAATCCTATGGCTTTTAATTAAAAAAAAAAAGTTTCAAATATGAGGCTATTTTAACCTGCACTGACTCTGAATTTAGGGACAATAAATTCTGTTTACTGAAAAAGGTTTTAAAAGGATTGTGAACTTGAGCAGATTTCCAAATTTGAGAGTCAGGACAACAGAGGTGCATCATCCTAGAATGTGTAGACCTAAGTAGCTAAACACTACAGAGCTGTTTGTCTCTGAATGTAATTCAGGAATAGATTACTTTGGGGTATAATAACCTGTACCTGAACTTTTTTTTTTTTTGAGTGGGCGGGGGGAGCTGTTGAGTATATGAAGTAGACACATAAAGGATGGTCATGGATACATTGAGGGGGTTAGCATTTTTTATAACATTTTTCTCAGTACATGTCTGTGTATTACCTCTACAAGGTAAATACATTTAGTTTTTAGTGACTTTAAAAGTGTTACTAATATGGAAAAGCATTTGAATATAAAAAACTTGGTTTTGTTTTGATGGCTTAACCATTCCCTATGAAGAATTGAGGGTTACTGGCATAGTTAAGAAATATATGCCCATTGGATTTTAATTTTCCCTGTATTTTAAACAATTTTAAATTTTATGCCACTCTGTATACCCCAAAGTCTAGGAGAATTAAGATATGTCAGTCATAAAACCTGAGACATCAGATCTGAATACCAGCACCTGTTAGTTTTGGTATTTTCAGGTAAGAATGTACATTTACCGGACATTGGTAATTCTTTTGTAGGGGGCATTCCTTAACATCTTGTGTAGACTATTGAAACTTAGTCTGAAGCACAGTTGTGTTAAAATTGGTTTTATGACCATAACCCTGACCACATGGAAACTCTTCTATAATCCCATACATTAAGAAAGCTACTTTATTCCAAACCAATACTGGTTTGTCTGGTATCTTTAGAGCCTTACTCTGTTGACGTGATTCTCAGCTAAACATTAAGTCTGTTGTAACTTTGCTAAGTATTTCCACTTTTGTTATTTATTAGTGGTATATTTTTGTGTGTGTGAAGTGTCAAATCTTGTGGCTATTTAAAAAATAAAATACCATTGTGATTTAAAGTGACAATGTATGAGAATTCCTTGAATTACATTTTAAGGATAAGGGTTTGATTTTTGAATGGGATTAAAGAATTTGTAAGCAAGGTAAGTTTTCTATAATATTCGTTTAGTTTTCTGGTGATTCAAAAATAGGGTTAAAATCACCTTAGATTGACAACTTTAATGTCCACATGTACAGCAAGGGAGGAAAGGGTTTCTGAAGCCCAGGGTTTTCTCTCCTGCCTGCTCACTGGAGTCTGAGGGCGCATGGGAAGAGCTTCAGTTCTCTGGAAGGGTTTTCCTTTCAAGGCAACTTCCCTGCCAGACCAAGCTACTTAGTACTTCTCTTTGGTAAACTACAATTCACATTGGCACAATAAACACACGGTAACTAATTTTTGAATTTTATTCCCACAAATTCAGGTGAGGTTTCATTTCCTAAAAGTTCAAGGATGGTCTAGTCTACCAGTTATAAAAATGAAAACCAGTTAGAATACTAAATATAAACTGATTATTCATATTAGTTTATAAAAAATAGATTTGAGTTTTGGAAAAGTTAAACTAATAATCCCGTTTGTGAGGCATAATAAATTCCTTGATTTTCAAGGCCCGCCCTGTTTCCTTGGTTAACAATATCAATTTAGACGTGGGAGTGGAATTCAAGGAATCATTTAACTGAACCATTAATGTTTCCAACTAGCTAAGTCACTGACTAAAAATAATTATGTATAACCACAGCTTAAGTGATGTTCTAACCTCTCCAAATATTCTGGGAGCCACAATTACACTATGAACAATGATGTTTTTGTTCATTTTAAAACTTACTGTATGTTAGAACTGTAATTGGTCTGGGGAAAGCCTACTTAGTTTTATCATGGTGTTTTGGACGAGCAGATAATGTTAATCTAATAAGATAAAGTTCAAAATCTAATACAATCATCAAAGCAAGTAAATGATATTAGGAAAAGGATTAAAAACCTTTTTCCTAAAGAAGACATTTCTTAAAATTAAAAATTATTTTACTCTCATATTTAGGAAAAACAACTTAGTAGGGTAGAATTTCCTTAATGAGTGCCATAAAACAGTGGTTCCCAAATGTACTGGGGTGAAATGAGAAAAATAAGGACAATGGGAGTATTTTTTCCAAAAAGCTGCATTTATTCCACTTAAAGGACTATCTTGTTTTTTAAGATTGTCCTCATGAAAAGAAAATGTAATAATACAGTGATTTCTTTCAGATAACTTGGCATCCTTGTCCATCCCAAAACTTTGGGAAATGTTACTGGTCCATGAACTCTAAAAGTATGGGAACCACTGCCACGTTAAAGACTAGTGTTGAGATTAACAACTGTTAAATAGAAAAAAAGCTGCTGTGGTCAAATGTTTGGGAAATCATGTGAAATTTTGTAGTATCATTTCCCAAACATGTGATCACAAAACACATTCAGATCCACTGTTAATTGGAAAGACGTAAAAAATCTTAAGTGAACAATTCCTGAATGGAATTGCAACTATTTTCATATGAACAAAGTCTGGCCTATAACTTAGCTTCAGCTAAGGAAATGGTATAAGCAGCAATGTTATCAATATTAAACTTTTAATATCAAATACAGTTTTGTACATTACTAATTTATATAATTATAAAACAAACTCCAAAAGCTCCATAAAATCAGTAAGGTAAAAGCCCTTACTGAATATTATATAAACTTCAGATGTTACCAGGCTTGATTTCAGGAAAAGTCCTTGGTTTTTAATACAAAGTATCTACAAAACAATGGTATAAATGATACTTGCATTTTACAAGAATGTGGCTGTAATTTGCCCATTACTCTTCGATAGGTATCAGATGTTTAAAGTTCATTTCCATTCACACACTTCTGCTGCTGAAGCCTAGTTCTTCTCAAAGACTCAAGCTGCTTTGCTCTTAGCCATCGTTCTCTTGACAGTGTTGTCTGACCAGCACTGAGAGACAGAAACCTGGTTCGAGATAAGAAACAAATTTCAGTCTAGACCTAGGAACACTAGTTTAGGAACAAGACCTGTGGTCTGTAATTGGTCTGGGGAAAGCCTAGTTAGTTTTATCATGGTGTTTTGGGCGAGCAGATAATGTTGATCTAATAAAATAAAGTTCAAAAATCTAATACAATCATCAAAGCAAGTAAATGACAAAGAGGTCAAGAACCAAGTTCGATGTCTACAAAGGAATCCTTTCAGTCAAATTTGGGAGATGACTCACTTTGAGAAGCATGCCTGGTTCCATTGAAGTGATCACTGGCCAAATGCAATTTCACTTCAATGAGCCACTTCATAAGGGTTTTTAAAAGGAAAAAGTTCATTTCTATAAACCAGGGGCTTTATTCATCGCTTACGTTAAGCAATTACGGACATGTCCTACTCACCGAGCGACAATGAGCAGCTGGTGGAGATCGTCAGCAGTGATGCTCTGAGGGTCATTCTTGCGCATTTCCACAAAGTCATCTTCAACTGCCTTTATCAAAAGAGGAAATGACGTTTGCATTTAATAGGGAAAAGAAAACTAACATGGTCCCTTGACTGATGTAAAAATGAAGTCAGCCCTGCTTTTTAGAAAAATGAGATAACATGGATGAAATGATTGAGAACCAAACTTAATACATATAAATAATGTTACCGATGAAAGTATTCCAAACAAAACAAGATCAGGCGAACATGCCTGTAAACACAGGGAAGATGATGTCAGTGAAAATGGCAGAACAAGGACCTCAGAAAATTCCATTAAAGGGAATAAAGACTCTAGTAAAAATGGTCAAAATCAGCTTCATCAAAGCTCTGGAAATTAACCAGAGGCTTGCAGCAATCTGAGGAGCATTACTCAAGAAAGGCAGTAAGAACACTGAGCTTTGAGGAATTTTAACTTGCACCCTCACCCCACCTCCAGGCAGCCCTGAGAATGTCCCGCCTGGCAACCACTGAAGAGGTAGTGGGGCTGGAGGCCTCCCAAAGGATCATTCAGGAATTATCATTTGACTGGTGGTTCCCTGGAAGAACCCATCTGTAAGGTTGTCTTTAACCTGACCTGGGGCTTGCCCAGTGTGAACAGCCTCTTCTCCCAGGGCATTTAAAAAAAATCAGAAGCAATTATTGAACATCTTGGCTGCCTCGGGCACTGGCTAGCCAAATTCCTTAAAAGGAAAAACGGGGAATGAGATGTCTGTGTGTGTGTGCGCACACAATAGCTATATAAATCAATTCCTAAGAATTTAGAAGGGCACATGCTTGCACAGGTCTGTGCATGCTCAGATCTGC